GGAAGTGTTTGTGATGAATGTTTGCTCATCTGCATAACACTGTATTGTGTGAATAAAGCTGTAGCCTTTTGCTTTCCAGCAGTGGAGTTCTACTGAGATGATACTACTGGACAAAGGGGGCTACTACGGGACACTTAAACTAGGTCACACTGAATTTTAATGCATGATGCCTGCCCTGTTGTACTTTATTGGGTTGTCGGAAAACTCATAATGTATTTTGGCAATGAAAAACAGAAAAATACGTCATAACTTTTCCAACAACCCAATACATGAGTTATGGAGAAGTGTAGCATGCAGTCCATTTACTGTGCAAACCTGCCTTCCAGATTGTTCAATAACCGTTATTTGCTACACTGAAGTGTGAAGGCAATTCGGTCTCAGGCTGATAATAGAAATGTCATTAAAGAAAATAAGGATATGAGCACCTTCTTCATTTGTACATTAACATGTAAATAGTGTAATTATAAAATAAACTCTCCCCCAAATAAAAACCACTCAGTTTCAGAGCTCAGTTGTGCAGATTACGACACCATTACCAAACATGGAGAATATGTATATATCACACTTGTGAATTTGCCATCCAGACGATGTGGCTTTACTGCCCAGGGTCTAAGTATGACTCAGAAGTTTAATGTCTTTCTCCGTTCTCCACCGAGCTTTTGAGTGGTAACTAGGAAGCTGGTGATCACATGCTCATGTGTGTCCATTTGTCCATTTCCCAGTTAATAAATACGAAAGAAACTACTGACATGGAATGCAACTCAAGTCAAATATGAACCTACTTCCAGAGCAATGATGGGCGTACAAACAAGACTGGCACTCCGCCCCCAGCTGACCCATGACACAAACGAAAAACAAAAAACTTGTAGTCATTCTTTTTTTCTTTTTTTGTTTTAGCTGTTTTACCCGTAAGGTGTTTATTATATCCTGTCCTAACAGAAATGCCATCACAGAACTGGAATGGCCCTCCTAAAGATCATGTAGTCCATTTTAAGTTATATTACAGAAGAGGAAACTGAGGCCAACAGTGGCATAGGGGTTTATCAAGTTGAGAATTAGGATTTAAATCACATTCTAGGGCTCTGAATCCATTGTTCTATACCATGTGGCCTTTCTGTGTATGAAATAATAAAAATATAGAGCTGAAGACGGGGAACAGGTTCTGAGAGGATCTAACGAGATTAATCCTGAGATGCCTTTACTCACACCATTGGCCAGTAAAAGCGCTTCCCGTCTCTGGGGCCTAGTACAGTGCTTGGCATAAAATAAAAGCTCAATAAATGCTAAGAAAATGAGCAAAGTCATTATGTCAGGCAAATATGCAAATATGATAGCAAGAGCTGTGGATTTAGAGGCAAGAGACCCTAATTTATGTCCTAGGTCTGTCATTTGTTGACTATAAAAATCTATGTAATTCCAAACAATCGAGAACAACTTAAGTGTTCACCAATAAGGGACTAGTTCAATAACCTACGGGACATCCAATCATAGACTACTGACCGTGTTAGTTTTCTATTGCTGTTGTATTATCACAAACTTAGTGGCTTAAAATAACACGTTAATTATATTATAGTTCTGGAAGTCGGAAGTCCGACATGGGATTCACTGGGCTAACACCAAGGTGTTGGCAGGACTGCACTCTCTTTTGGAGGCTCTAGGGGAAAATCAATGCCTTTCATTTTCCTGCTTCTAGCGGCTACTCACATTCCTGGCTTGTCGTCCCTTTTTTCACCTTCAAAGCCAACAATGGCCAGCTGAGTTCTTCTCACGTCACGTCACTCTAACCTTCTCTTTTGCCTTCCTTTTCTACTTTTAAGGACTCTTGGGTCCAGGGAATGATCCGGGATAAAATATTTTAAGGTCAGCTGATCAGCACCCTTAATGCCATTTATTACCCTAACTGCCCTATGCCATCTAAGACAATACAGTAAAATGTTCCAGAGATTAGAATGTACACATCTTTGCTTAGCGCATCTGTAAAAAAAAAAAAGTGAGGAAGCTCTCTATATTTTGATAGGAAAAATTCTCCAGGATATATTATGGTTACGTAAAAAATGCAAGATAAAGAAAAGTGTAAATGGTACACTACTTTTTATGTAGAAAAGAGAAGAAATAAGAATATATATTCATACTTGGTTATATTTGCATAAACAAACCCAGGAAAGATATGCAAGAAATATTAAAGTGGTTACAGATAGACAGAAATAACATTTGGTGTGGGAGGATTGGGGGTAGGATGGAACAAGATTTTTCAATGTATCTTTCAAAATTAATTTGCTTTTTGAATCATGTAATATAAATTCAAGGGATTCATAACTGCCCCCAAACTTTCATTATTCACTTGATAGTCAAAACCTTTTGTTTTGAAGAGCCTATGTGTCATCAACCTTGTTACTTTTCTCCTCTTAAATGAACTCTTCTAATAGACATCCTAATTTTGGCTATGAGTATATCAAGCAGTTCTCTAACATGACATTCCTAGACTTCATGAAAGTTGGCATCTTTTGCAAGGTTTTTACAGCTTCATATTGCCATCCATTTGCATAGTATTAGGAAAAGTTTTCAACATCTAGCATCACTGCAGTGTGCATGCTAGAACTAAATATGGAGCTTATCTTTAGGTGGACATTCATTTTCTAAGTAATTACGTAGTGAGCGTTTTCATTTCATATTCACAAAATTATAAATACTTGAATTTCCCTGTGTGACTGTAGAAATTTGGATACTAACTATGTAAAGCTGTTAAATATCCTTGAATCTATTTCAGTATTTATATTCTGTCTTTTCTTGGAAAAGTCCTTTAATTATTATATCTTAAATCTAGTAGTAATATTATAGTTTAACATATCTTGTAGTGACATCTCTATCATTAGTTAGTCTTCTACTGACTATTTTTTATTCTTTTCTAGTCAGGTTTACTGAGTTTACTGAGTTATACTTTAGGTACAGTAAAATGCCTTTTTAGGTATTGAGATCTATGAGTTTTGAAAAACAAAAACAGTTGTGTAACCACCACAACAATAAAGATATAGAGTATTTCTATCATTCGAAAAGTTCTTTCATGCCCTTTTGTAGTCAATTTCCTCACCCTACTCTCAGTCCCTGTTAACTACTGATCTGATTTCTGTCCCCATACTTTTGTCTTTTGCAGAAAGCTATGTAAGTGCAATCATATAATAGTATATAGTCTTTGTGTCCAACATTCTTTCATTTAGCATACTGCCTTTGAGATGCATCCAGGTTGTAGGATGTATCAGTACATCATTTTTTATTGCTGAGTGGTACTCCATTGTATGACTACAGCAGTTTGTTTATTCATTCTTCAGTTGACAGACATTTGGGTTAATTCCAGTTTTGAGCAACTATGAATAAAACTACTATAAAAAACACATATGTATGATCATAATTTTTCATGGCTAAATACCTAGAGGTGGGATTACTGGATTGAATGGGAAACGTATCTCTAATGTTACAAAATTTCTTATAAATAACTACCAAACTGTTTTTCAAAGTACCTGCACCATTTTGTATTTCTACCAACAATGAAGGTTTCTAGCTGCTCTTCTTCTTTGCCACTTACATTATCAATTTGTTTAATTTTCATCATTTTAACAGATATTGCGTTATCGGATTGTGGTTTGCATTTCCCTATGGCTAATGATGTTGAACACTGCTTTGCAAGCTTACCTGTCATTCATATTTCTTCTTTGGTAAAGTGCTTGTTCAAATATCTTGCCCATTCATTATTTATTATTGAGTTGTAAGTTATTTAAATATTTTGTATATGCATAATGTGTTTTAAAAATATTTTCTCTCAGATTATAGCTTTTCTTTTCATTTTCTCAACAGTGTAACTGTCATTTGAAGAGCAGAAGTTTTAAATTTTGATGAAGTCCAATGTATCAATATTTTTATAGTTCATACTTTTATTTAAGAAATCTTTGCTTATCTCAAGATCACACAGATTTTCTCCTATGTATTCTTCTAGAAGCTTTATAGTTTTAAGTTTATAGTAATATATATGATCCATTTAAGTTACCTTTAGCGTTTTATGTGAGGCAGCTAGTCAAGGTGCTTTTTAAAAATTTACATATGGCTATCCAATTGTACTATTTGTTGCAAAGGTTAGCCTTTCTCCATTGTATTGTCTCTACAACTTTGGTGAAGATCAACTGACCATTTGGTATGCGTCTATTTCTGGACTCTATTCTGTTCCATTGATCATTGTGTCTACTATTTGTTCACCAATATTATAGTCTTGATTACTGTAGGTTTTATATTAAGTATTGAAATCAAGATGAGTAAGTTCTCAAAATGTGCTCTTTTTTAAAAGAAAGTTTGGGCTATTCTAGGGCTTTTCATTTCTATGTGCATTTGAGGAATAGCTTGGCATTTTCTTCAAAAAAGTCTTCTGGGATTTTGATCAGGATTGTGCTGTGTCTATAGATCAGTCTGTGTTTATAGATCAATAGAATAGATATCTTAATAATATCGAGATTTCAAATGAATTAATACCATATATAAGGTCTGACATTTAAGTTCACGAACTTGCCACCATGCGCTTACATTGACAGCACTATACAAGCAGCTCAGTGAGTTTCATAACCTTGGTATATTAGCGTCTCACAGTTGTGTTCATGCCGACATGTGGCAGTGTCTTGCTGAGTGGTGTTCATTATTGTTGTTGCCTGTTTTTGTATGCTGTCATGAGAATGTCTGAGCTTGAATTAGAGCAACGAACAATAAATTTCTTGTTAAGCTTGGCAAGAGTGGAAGTGAAATCAGGGACATGTTAGTCCAAGTTTATGGGGATAATGCCATGAAGAAAATGGCAGTGTACAAATGGATTAAACATTTTTCTGAGGGGAGAGAATGCATCACGGATGAAGAGAGGTCAAAGTGGTCAGTAACGAGCTGAATTGTGTGTCAAAATTGTCGGCTGGCTGTGAGAAGCATAGCAGACCAAGTAAACATAAATAGAGAAACAGGAAAATCTTAACTGAAAATCTGGGCATGAGACGTGTGTGCAAAAATGGTCCCGAAGGAGCTCACCTATGAACAAAAGCAAAGGGAGTTTTTAGCCAGTAAACAAGTAACTGTATTGGAACACCCTCCCTACTCATCTTATCTGGCCCCCAATGGCTTCTTTCTTTCCCCGAAAATAAAGGAAATATTGAAAGAAGACATTTGGATGACATTCAGGACATCAAGCGTAATACGATGACAGCTCTTATGGCCATTCCAGAAAAAGAGTTCCAAAATTGATTTGAAAGGTGGACTAGGCACTAGTGTCAGTGCATAGCTTCCCAAGGGGAGTACTTCGAAGGTGACTATAGTGATATTCAGCAATGAGGTATGCAGCACTTTTTCTAGGATGAGTTCGCGAACTTAATTGTCAGACTTTTGTACTTCCCAATTTGTTTAGGAACATTTTATTTTATTTATATTTTTATTAATAGTTTCAACCTAATGATTAGACACCTATACACCTCACAAAGTGATAACCTAACAAGTCTACTACCTATCTGATACCATACATAGCTATTATACCATTGACTATATTCTCTATGCTGAGCTTTATATCATGTGACTATATGTACGTATTTTTTAATTATAGTTGACATTCAATATTATTTTATATTAGTTTCAGGTGTACAGTGCAGTGGTTAGGCATTTATATAATTTAAGAAGTGATCCCCTCAATACGCCTAGTACCCATCTGAAACCATACATAGTTTTTACAACATTGACTATATTCCCCATACTGTATTTCCAACCCCATGACTATTTTGTGACTATCATTTTGTACTTTATTTAGGAACATTTTAATTCTTGAGTAAGAGCTGAGATTTTATCAAGTGCCAAAAAAAAATCATTGGAATTTTAATTGAAATTTCATTAAGTATACTTTTATAAATCCTGACAAACATATCTCCTCTTTTTCAATGACTATATTTTTATTAAGCTTCCCATGTTGAATTATTTAAATATCATTTAATGGTATATGTAAACAAAAGAATTTATTATTTTAACATTTGCAATTAATATGACTCCTGTTAAATACTCTTTGCAAAATGGTCTGGGTGAAGCAACTTGGGAAATATCACATACTAATATGTAGTCTCCAGATTCAGATTTGCATTGGTCACTGGCTTTACTTGGTAATTTGGTATTATACACATTCTAATATTATTAATTTTGATTTAATGTAATTTTATTTCTACATTTTAAAATCTACTTTCATAAAATATTAATTTATACTCCCCCCCCATTTTTCTTTTAGCAGGATGATTAGGCTGGCTAGACAAAATAATTTACAAACATTTCCCAATATTTCCAGGTTCTGGGAAAATATAAATTGTATAGTAAATTTTCCTCTCAGGTATTTAACATGATTTGGCACACACCCACGAAATGTGACACTTGTTTCCAAGAGTAATACCAATGATTTTCTTTAGCATTCTTTGCATTTTAATTTTTTCATGCTTTCATTGCATTTTAAATTTTAAAAAATATTTTCTGCTACTTAAGTACTTTTCCAAAGTAAATATAATTGGCGGGATTAAGTGTAAAATGCTATAAGTAAGACTGATTACATACAGGAAGCCTTGAGTTTTAATATTAGCCCCTCTATTGTTTAAGTGTCTAGTGCTGAATTGCTGAATCCAAATCCCTTGAAAACTGGCACACTGAAATAAGGGGGCCACCGATCGGAGTGGCTGCTAGAGAGTATGTAAATATGAAGAAATGTGTATATTCAGAACAATCAGACTTTCACCTTGACAGACTATAGAAAGCAATGAAAAGGTGATACTCACATCTGAGTTAAAGCGAAGCTGACAGACATTACAAGAAATAACTTGTTTCTTCTTTGGTGGAATGGAAACTCCAAATGTGTGGTTAATGACTGCTTTTTGTACAGGATCCATCTGAAGAACAAATGTAAAATAGTCAATTTATAACTTCAAAGAATAGACAATCGTGTGAGCAAATAAAAGTAGCTGTATTACTCCTTAAGGCTTTAACTTTTCATTCCCAAATAAGGATAATAAAGAATCTTATTCAATTATAATGTACTTGTCTCCAGAAATTAAAAACAAACCCCCTAAAATTGGTTCAAAATCATAACATAAATCATAGGAGAACCCAACATTCCAAGAAATCACATATCTATATAAGGAAGCTTGAAAAACCTTAATTCCAAGAAATCACATATCTATATAAGGAAGCTTGAAAAACCTTAAAAGAATCATAAAACAAGAAAATTTACTATCCAAAGGTCAAGGTTAAATTAACTTGTTAATGTTTTCCCTATATGTGATGATAATACTTATGATAGTTTGAAATGACAATTATTACGAATGTATTTTAAGTTTCCTAATTTTTTATTTATGACAAAGTCATAAACAATAGGCTCATATCACACCACAGAAAATGTTGATCTTCATTTTAAAATAATTTATTACTTTTTATGTACTTTAGATTAAAATTCATTCTACTGGAAATGCATGCCACAATTGTACACTCAAATGCTCATAACAGACTGGTTAATATGCAACTGTGTTTTAAATATTTATCAAGTGAAGTTTTGACTTATAACTTGTGACTTTTCTCCCATTGGTTTGCATATACTATACATATTCAGGAAAATATACAGTGATAAAAGTACTCAACCATAAAAAAAGTATGGCACAAAGCCATGAAAATACTTGGGAGAAAAAAACAAACAAACAACACTATTTGCAGAAGCTATAAAAAGAAAGAGACAGGAGCGATTCTCTTGTGTATTCCAGATAATAATCTCTAGCATCAACATCAGACAACTGGCAGTTCAAAAAACAATACAGATGATGAACAAAGCATTACTTATAAACACATGAAACATGAACAAGGGCAGATCCACTGATACCATCATCTAGGAAATCTCTTGAGGTTAGAGTTTAGGATTGGATTAGTTGATGATATTTGGTAGAGAGGAGGAATGAAGACTACTCCTGATCAGAACTATAAATCAACGAAGTGCAAAATTAGTAATTTAGAAGAATTTAAATACATTAGAAAGGAGGGTGGATTACAGAATTACTGAATAGTAAGGTAGCCTATTTTTTCTACAAGTTTAAGAGATATGATAGGCCACTGTATTCATACTATAAATAACACTTATGTGGTTTGGGACACTTAAAAATTCAAAGAGGGGAGTTTTCTGGAGTAATAGAACAATTCTATAATCTGACTGTAGTGGTGGTTACATACATTTATAAATGTGTCAAAGTTCATAGAACTAAACACACTTCCTAGGAGTTAATTTTATGTATATAATTTAAAAAGTAAAAAAGAAAAAAAATGTTACAAGTATTATGCTTAACTACTAAATGTAAAATAGAACTACTGGAAAATCTGGGGATTTGTTTTCTTCAAGGTTATATTTAATTATGTTAAATTTTATTGAATGAGAATAAAAAAATAAACAACCCTCTCTAGTCAAAGAAAACCTCACAATGTCAGTAAATAAAACCCTATTCACTTCGTGAGTTTACTCACGAGTGCGTACACACTTAAGTCTCATCCATCCATTTGTAAAACATGAAACTACACTTTCTGATTGTTACTAGAGATGGCAAATCAGTTTGGGCAGGGAAATAAAATAGCCTACTTATATTGACAGGATGAGAAAACTACACTGTTTTGAAAACTTAAAAAGTAGATTATTTTACTGAGATATTTTCTGTTCTCAAGATCTAAGAAATACATGACATGCAAACTACATGGCATAAAACTATGAATAATTTCCCAAACACCAGTTTTTGTATGCCACTGTCATTATTTTTGCCAATCCATATACTATTGTGTTATTATTCAGTTAATATTTTTTCTTTAAATTAACTTTAAAAAACACAGCAATATGTATTTATGAAATCATAGTTTTAATGTACATGCTTTCCTAATACTGATTTCAAAAAAAAATTTTAAAGATTAACATTAAAAATTAAATTTTTCATCATCTAAAATAAATGCACATATCCTAATTGTTCCCATACCACAATATAGAAACAGACATAAGATACATCTACAAAAATCTAGTTCCAAATTTTTAGTAAACCAAGGTATCTGTTGACAGCTCTGTGACCCTTGAATATAAATATTCTTTAATTTTTTGAAATTATTAGCTACCTACATAGTTTTTTAAATAACTCCTGATAAAAATGTATTCTACTCAAATCTCACATCTGCACATCAGTCTGAATATACCCGTTGATACTCATTCCCAAGGCTGAAAGCTCTCTGTCCTAAAAGGTGAACTGTGGCTGAGCCCTCCACATACAAAGGCAAGCGAGTTCCCAGCCATCTGCTCCCTGAACAGCAAATTAAGGAGGTTCCTTCAAGAAACTGAAACCAGAATTGGCTTCTCTATTTTACGTACACAATCCTACTCATCCCCACAAAATCGACTAGATAAACACAGCCCTTTTAGCCCATCCCTTATCACCTGTCATTAACGCTTGCTGCCTTTCCATCCTTTGATGACTTACCACTAATCATATGAAAGTTTTAGCCTCCCTGTTTTATACTTGGAACAGATTTTTTTTTTCTATTTTCCAACCGATTCTCTATTTTCTTAAAGGTAGGATTTCAGGAAAAGATCCTTTTGCTTTTTTCTGTTTAAATCTCTTTTATCTTCCTCTGCCTGTTTATCATAGAATTCTATAATTATATTTCTCATTCATCATTTGGGGAACATGATTTAGTTGAAAGAAAACTTTAAGTAGTATAAAAAAGGATGTTCCACTTGTCAATTCATCTGATCCCTTGAAACCGACACTGTCTAGATGATGTTTTGAGTAATTACCATCTGGCGCAATAACTACAAATATCTGAGTTATTTCAGTGGGATCCAGACTTGGAAGAACATGGAAAATGCTTTCAGATCTCTTTTTCTCGCTTGTTTTTAAAATATAAAGTGGTAAAACCCTGATTTTTTTTCCTTTTCATTCCTATAATACTTTAAAAGTTAGATGAAAATAATAACTAAATCAATGGTAATTATTTTACTCAATCACCGATTTTCAGGATGAATTAAAATGTTCTCATAAATCCTAAAATATGATAAATGCAGTGATGCAATTTAGTCTAGTCAAACTATATATCTACATCATAATGATTTCATATATAGAATACTCAGGAAAATTATTAGGGGTATTTCAATTACACAACAATTAAATCTTATTTTTAAGATTAAGTGACATTTCATAAACATGATTTGTTAAATGAACAAGTGTTTTCAAACATCTTTATTACAATGTTTGTATTACTTTTAAATGAACAAATTCTTTGTTAAATACTCATATTAAATTAGCTCATGTTAGTTCACATCGCACAAAAAAAGCTGTCTACGGATTAAGAATATTGCGATTCATTGGTAAATAATGTTGAAAAGCTTTTTTTAAGGAAAACAACTCTACCATATAGCTCTAACTACTAATATTCCTTACCTGACAGAATTTATTGGTCCCAAATAAGCCTCTTCTTTTCTAAAAAAGTAAAAGTTAGAAGTAGTAATCTGGGTTTTTGAGGCTAGCAAGCACATTTACATGAAATTTTAAAAAATCCTTTATTTTTTGCTTATTTCTGATTAAAAAGCTTGAAATGCTGACTAAAAAGCTGCAAGAGTGAACACTACCACTTTGTCTAATGAATGTAGAAATGAAAAGCAAAACCTGTTAGCGCAATTAACTGGTAGGTAATAAAAATGAAAGATGGGTTTGCGACCTGTTACCAGAAATCTAGGAGCTAATTGGAGGCTATGTATGGACAAATTAACTATTACATTACAGTATTTAGAAACTCGCGAAGCTGGCCTTATCACACCACCTATTATATTTTCAGAATAGGAACAAACAGGTTATCTTTAGCGTATTCGCTAGGATTATGGAACCACGCATCTGTGTGAATTTTTTAAAAGATCATTACTTTCACTGAGTATATAAAAAAGTAATTTACATCTGCACACTGTAAGCAATTATATTAAAAATATGCAGCTGCAAATGCAACCTAGCCACAGGGAAAAGAAACACACACCGCGGCCCTTCACTAGAGGGAGGGTGCACGCTAGGGGCGGGGGAGGGGCTACATAATCAAACGACTTAACACTAGATAGAATTTTGATTCTAGAGAGTTTTGTTAGATGAAACATTAGGCAAAGAAAATAGACTTACAAACTTTTCGGCTATCTCAATAATTTTCAAGAGGCCTGAACTTGAATTTTCTTCTTCTAGGTGTCTTAAAATGGTTTCACTAGCCATCAAGTGGGACTGGGGATTGGAGTAGGCTGACCACCACCCAGTGAAAAGGCACAGAAGACAACTCACGAATGATACAAGGCTCGAATGATACAAGGCTTTCTTCCACGTGGTGAAACGGCTGGGTAGCTATACTATTCTTGAATATGGAGAAACTTCATCTTAACTTAGCCATCCACTTTAATCAATGTCCTAAAAAGCATTTGGTAAGCACTTATTATACAACATAATGGGCCATACTAGCTTTTCTACTAAACAGAAGAAGAAACCAGGTTTTGACTTGTAAACTGTACAAATCAGTCAACCAACACACATTTCTGGAGGCCTAATATCTTTCAGATGCTGTCCCAGACTAGTCGGAGTAGGATTATTCAAACACAAGAAAAGACCTAATTGTAAAGGTTAAAAAGTGAAAAAAGATGGTATAAGCTCTATTTAGTTGGAGGGTGGGAAAATAAGTGACCATTAAGCAAAAAAAAAAAAAAAAAAAGGGGGCGTGAGACTGCCCCTAAAGGTCTGTCTCCTCTGCCCCACCCTTACTTGGAACTTCTTTCTCCCTTTTCTGATTTTCTCATCTTTAATCACCCAGGGTTCTCCCTTTAACAGTAACATAAATGTGTTATCCTCCCAGG